AGGGGGCTTCTGCGCTTCGGCAGGAACCGATGATAGACGGCTACCTATCCTAATATCTGGAAACAAAACCTGACTAGCTAGACTCGACGCTCCCGTCACGGACAAGTCCCCGGCCGCTGGTGCAGTGAACCGACGCACTAATCCTAACGGACACACTCGATGACGCGATCTAGCTAACCCTGACTAACTACAGACTGACAGGGAGATACAAACACAAGCAAGGTGGAAAAGGCGCGAACAAAAACAGACAACTGCTAGTCAGGCCTTCAAAGCACCCTTCTCATAAATATTCATGATCTTTATCTTTACAATCATTGGACCCTGTACAGGAAAACAAGGGTCCCTGATTGGTTGCTTTGATAAACAAGTTGTAACAGCCTGGATCAGTGTGCTGCATGCAGCAGCACAGTGTGACATGTGCAGCTACTTGCCCGCCGTGTGCAACACTCCTAGAAACTTCTATATTAACATTCCTAACAGCTACTACATATTCATAACAAATCATACATATTAATGATTGCTTAGACATATTAATGAGGTGTCAAAAATGAGCAGGCTACATAGGGAAGCTAAGGATTGAAAGCCCTGGATGCTGGGTCCCTAAAGTTAGTCCTTCCGGGTCAAGAGTAAGATACACTTGTAGGGCATAGTGTGAGGTAAGTATGCACTGCTGCTTCTGTTGCTGTACCTGTTCCTTATAAGATGACCTCAGTGATCTGTCAGTCTAGCACCTTCTTAGCTGTCAAGCCCCTTCTTTCAGATTTGGGTTTTTAATTTTTAAACTACAAATTACATGTATTAATTTAATTAATTACCCTTTATTTCTTTTAAGCATAGGTTGGATTCTGGCATTTTGCCCACTCGTTTGTGAGAGGAAATTGGAGGAACGAAGCAGAAAGTACATTTTCTTTGTTAGCGAAATCCTGCCATGACATCGACCTCATTAATTTTTGGATGGGTGATAAAAGGTTTACATCATCTTTTTTATCATATCTGTTCTTAGAATAAGCACGTGCAAACACAAATAAGGTGAAAACAACATGGAGTCCGGTGGCATCTTAAATACTATTCAGTTTTATTATGGCATAAGCTTTTGTGAGTTGCAACTCACTTCATCAGGTGCAAGTGCAAGAAAAAGAAACATTATAGGGATACAGAGATGGAAGTGTAACATCAGACTAATTGAATCAAGTTGAATCCTATTTCCACAAGTTATATGTAATTTTCCCCTTCCGAGAAAGTAAGGCCTAACCTACACTACTAATTTTTTGCTAGTGTAGTTAGTGACTCCTCATTTAACATTGTCCTAGTTAACATTCTTTCATTGTTATATTGCTTCTCTACTAGAGAATGTGCTTCTTTAAAGTTGTGCAATGCTACTTTGTAATCTCTTGTCTGGATGCTTGCTTTGTCCATCCTTGCAGGATTTTCTGGAAGAGCAACCTGTCCTTGTGGGGGTTGGAATCAGGGTTGGCTTACAGCCCCTGCCCCCACTGCTCCTGCCCTCTGCTTTGGAGCTACTTCTGGGAACCTCCTTCTTGTTGTATGTGGGGAGGGTGAGAGAGGTAGTGTTGTCATGCTGTCCCCCCTCCATTGAGCCCTCTATTCCATTCTCCCATCTACACAAAGCAGGATGCTACAGAGTCTTGTGTCTGGACTTCCTGGTCTACTTACAAGGGCAGTGTACTTGAAGTAGGGCCAGTGTACTTAAAGTGCAATGCATGTCTTTATCTGCCTCGTTCTCTCACTCACACACACACAAACAATGTGTGTGTGTCTGTGGGATAATGTGGGTTCATCGTGATGATGATGAGCTTCTGCAGGGAAGTGTGGTGCATCTGTTGTGTTTCCTCCCTCCTGCCTCACTCCAAGGACTTATTGTACAGCGTAGATGCAGCTTATAACGATAGTTTTTCTGTTTGCATAGTAGCACCACTCCTCCAAACAACATTACTTATATTATCAATAGAACTCTGAGCCAGTCTTTTTCAGCCGTACTGGGTCAGACCAAAGGTCCATCTAGCCCAGTATCCTGTCTACCGACAGTGGCCAGCACCAGGTGCCCCAGAAAGGGTGGACAGAAGACAATTATCAAGCGATTTATCTCCTGCCATCCCTCTCCAGCCTCTGACAAACACAGGCCAAGGACACCATTTTATCCCCTGGCTAATAGCCTTTTATGGACCTAACCTCCATGAAATTATCTAGCTTCTCTTTAAACTCTATTATAGTCCTAGCCTTCACAGCCTCCTCTGGCAAGGAGTTCCACAGGTTGACCACACGCTGTGTGAAGAAGAACTTTCTTTTATTAGTTTTAAACCTGCTCCCCATTAATTTCATTTGGTGTCCTCTAGTTCCTCTATTATGGGAACTAATAAATAACTTTTCTTTATCGGCCCTCTCCACACCACTCATGATTTTATATACCTCTATCATATCCCCCCTCAGTCTCCTCTTTTCTAAACTGAAAAGTCCCAGTCGCTTTAACCTCTCCTCATATGGGACCCGTTCCAAACCCCTAATCATTTTAGTTGCCATTTTCTGAACCCTTTCCAAGGCCAAAATATCTTTTTTGAGGTGAGGAGACCACATCTGTACACAGTATTCAAGATGTGGGCGTACCATAGTTTTATACAGGGGCAGTAAGATATTCTGGGTCTTATTTTCTATCCCTTTCCTAATAATTCCTAGCATCCTATTTGCCTTTTTGACTGCCGCTGCACACTGTGTGGAAGTTTTCAGAGAACTGTCTATGATAACTCCAAGATCTCTTTCCTGATTTGTCGTAGCCAAATTAACCCCATCATACTGTACGTATAGTTGGGGTTATTTTTCCCGATGTGCATTACTTTACACTTATCCACATTAAGTTTCATTTGCCATTTTGTTGCCCAATCACTCAGTTTGGTGAGATCTTCTTGGAGTCCCTCACAGTCTGCTTCTGTCTTGACTATCCTAAACAGTTTTATATCAACTGCAAACTTTACCACCTCACTGCTTACCCCTTTCTCCAGATCATTTTACTAATCTTCAAGGTCAGAAATATTCCCTAGAAGGTCAGTTTGTGGAAGGCCAGGCATTTCCATTTCCCAGTGACATAAATTGTTTTTCTATCCTGATAGATTGAGATATTAGATCTTAATATTTTATTTTTATTATCCCTCTTTTATTTTTGTAAAAGACTTAATTTCTGTAACATTATCTCTAAAGCCGCTAAAATTAGCCAAGATACATTGGAGTATATCTTTCAAGTTTTCAGATAGGTGCAGCTTCTGTTGAAGTAGCTTCACCGGTCCATAATCTGTAACAGTCAGTGAAATAACAGTTTCTAAATATCATACCAGGCTTGAACTGGGTGAGGCAGGAAAAAAATATGAGGATTGGAATGATGAGATTTTTACTGTCTGATAGTGCCTTACCTCTCAGAGTTAGGAACAGTTAGGAGCCAGTAAATATTAATCTGCACTGATCCTGAACAAGAGGTCACGAAGAAATGTTGATCGTTGACTTACAACATCTCTGTGTTTATACTTTTATTTTGTATTCTTAGATCTCTTTTAGTCCCAGCATTTTTTAGTATAGAATTTAAGACATTTTTTCCCGTTCCTCAAAGGCAGCCCAGACTGTTATAGTTTGTATTGTAAATTCTTAGAAACTGGAGATGAGAGAAAAAATCAGACATCATTCTGTTGACTAGGATCCTTCTCAGTTAGAAATGTGCTGGGTAGTAAAATGATTCCCAATACTAATAATACATGTAATCAGAAAAAAAATCTTAGAGAAAACAATTGCACCATCACCAGTGCAACAAAAAAACAACAATTAATTGGTGTTGAGGGACTTGGAATATCTAAAAGCCTGATTTAGGTTCTGTTGAAATGAGTAGAGGCCTTTCTGTTGACGTTGGTGTGCGTTGGGTCAGACTCAAATTGAACAATTAAAAAAATGACCATTTCTAAGCTTTTTTATGCTGATATGTTTATGAAAATGTCTGTTTTATTTCAGGTGCTTAAAGGTGTCATCTTTTGGCAGTCTTTCTCATTTTACTAATGAGCATAAGGTTTGTATTAATAGTGCTCTTTGAATGAGAACACAAAGTCGCTAGCTTTATTTCAGCAAACGTTAAGCATGTGCTAAAATCCATCAGAATACGACAGATTGCTTAAGCATATGCTGTAAATTAAGTTCATACTTTGCTACATTGGATTTTATATTATCATTTAATTCCCATTTCATTTTTATTTTGAGGATGTATGTGACTATTTTAAATGTATCTGCAATTAATAGATAGTTTTTCTGCTAAAAATATGGATTTAGAAATATATAGTGAAAATGACATAAACGTTCCAGGAAATGACTTATTTTATTTGACAGAAGCCTAATCTTATAGTAGCTAAGGTCCTGAAGCCTTAATGAAATAATGTAGTAGTATAGAGAGCCTAAAATGAAATAGCCCAAGCAGAAATTGCTTATGCTGTGGGTTTTTTAAATTTAATCTCAATATAGTATGCGTTACGTCCAAAGATGCATTTAGCTAGCTCGTCCTAGCTTTCCCATTATGCCTTACATTCTACTTAGCACTTTCCATGCTATAAAATTGGTCCAAACCAATTTCATTATTTAACTCTACTGTAGATTTTGATTTTAATTTTTATCACCAGGACTACTCACATGAGTAAAACTACTCATGCATATAATATTTTTATTAGATTGGGCTCACATTTTATAGAATATTAAGATACACAGTTTGGAGCCTGGGATTTTTTTAAACAGAAGAATTGTTGACTTTCTAAGGTTAATATAAAGTATCTATTATTTGTAAACTAACTTTTAAGGAAATAAATATAATTTGTTTAAAAAAATGTCAGGACAAATGTCAAGTCTACATAGGTGTTAATTCCTAACAATCATATTTCATGTTTAGGGCCCTACCAAATTCAAGGTCCATTTTGGTCAATCTCACTGTAATTTTCTAAAAATAATAAATTTAATGATTGTAGCTATTTAAATCTGAAATTTCACAGATGGTAATTGTAGGAGTTCTAACTCCCCTAAACATAGCATGTGGGGGAGGGACTGAGGGTGTTGCTGTACTGCTGCTCTTACTTCTGTGCTACTCTCCGTCCCCACTACTGCTGGAGAATGGCCTGCCACCCTCCTGAACAAGGAGACCCCAAACGCGAGTTGGTTATTGCCCAGGCTGAGACCAGGCCAGGGCCTTCTGAACTGGTGAACTGTTTGTGGGCTACCCTGCCCTGCCAGAGGGCCAGGGCTCACTGGACTGTGGTTGTCTGTTGCCTGCCCTGCCCTAGAGCCAGGGCTCACTGGACTGTAGTTGTCTGTTGCCTGCCCTGCCCTAGAGCCAGGGCTCACTGGACTGTAGTTGTCTGTTGCCTGCCCTGCCCTAGAGCCAGGGCTCACTGGACTGTAGTTGTCTGTTGCCTGCCCTGCCCTAGAGCCAGGGCTCACTGGACTGTAGTTGTCTGTTGCCTGCCCTGCCCTAGAGCCAGGGCTCACTGGACTGTAGTTGTCTGTTGCCTGCCCTGCCCTAGGGCCAGGGCTCACTGGACTGTGGTTGTCTGTTGCCTGCCCTGCCCTAGGGCCAGGGCTCACTGGACTGTAGTTGTCTGTTGCCTGCCCTGCCCTAGGGCCAGGGCTCCCCTGAACTGCTGGCCTGTCCAAATTGCTTGGTTGCCCCGCTTGAACCAAAGCTGGGCCTTATACACTATTGTTTAAACTGTGGGACTCTGTGGCCCCTCCCCGAACCAAGGCCGGGAGCCTAAACTGACTGGGGTTTGCTGCCCTGCCTAAATCAAGGCTGGGCCTGGGAACTGCTAAACTGCTACTTGCTGGCCCACCCTGAACCAGGGTCCGGGCCCGGGCCCTCTTAAGGGTTTATTGCCCCTGCCTGAGGCAGACCTCGGCCCTCTGCCTGGTGATTGTTTGATTGCTGCCCCGCCTGGAACAAGGCCTGGGCTCTTGAACTAGTACTTTGGTGTTCGCTGCCCTGCCCTGACCGAGGGCCAAGGCCTCCTAAACTGTCCTGGCTTGTTGCCGGTCCCACCCCAAGGCCAGAGCTCACTAACTTTATTGAACTCTTACCTCTGGCCCGGACCTGAAGCAAGGCTGGGCATCTGAACTATCTCCCTCTCGCCCCAACCTGAAGCAAGGCTGGGAGTTGGACTGTTTGTCTCCTGGCCTGCCCTGAGCAAGGACGGGTTGTGGCACTGTTGGCTTGGGGACTATTTTAAGTGAGTGTGCAGTGGGGCAGACTGGCCGCCCACTGACCCGGAGGCGGAGGAACCACTGCGGGAGGCCTGCCGGCCTACAGTCACCTAAGGATGGAGTACTCTCAGGGACACTCCTCGAAGAAGAGTAGAAGATTACTTGCCCTGTGCAGTAAAGGAGGTTCTTGGAGATGGTTGGCTCTGTGGGTGCTCCACCATCTGCCTTTCCTCCCCTCTGCTTCGGACATGTTGATTTCTCCTTCCGGGTCAGAGAAGGAACTGAAGGGATGGTAATGACACCACACGTGCCATCTGCCTTGCACATGTAGCCTACCGAAAGGCACTGCTACTGTAAATCTCCGACTAGGCGCACAGCGGCGCCCCAAAGATCTAACGTGGATCCCCCACAGGGACAGCCATTTTGAAGAACCTCTGTTACTGCACAGAGTGAGTAAGCATCTCTTACTTAAACTGTAAAATGAATCTCAGATGGGGTGATATCAACTTTGAACATTTCTAAGGTAACCCAGCGAACAGCAATAGATGTTAGTACATGAGCAATGAAGCTGAATTGTTGGGGCTGGTGGAGCCTTGGCATTTTTTAGATCTTTGATTTTTTGTAATTGTATTTGTGCAACCTCTGTGTGCCACTAATTGTGCCATTTGCACCTATTTTCTGTTTCTTGGATTTTTTAAGAGTGGGTTGGGGAAAATGCTTGTGTCTCAGAGTGTTAGCATTTAAATTGCCCCTGTTAGACCTTGATGTTCACAACTCACTAAGGCAGATTTGTTGGGGTGGAGTGAGTTCACATTTTTCTGCTTCTTTTAATTGACTGATGACAGTTTTTTCGAGGTTGGGTTAAAAGAGAACCTATACATTTGTAGGTGACGGGACGGATTTTAGGTGACGGGACAGGGCTGAGCAGAAACTCTGTTGCTTCTACATGCATGTAAATTGTAATCTCAGCAGTCTGAGACCAGCTTCCCAGGTACTTGCAAGGCTAAAATTGTGAGAATATGGCTTGTAGTGGTAAAAAAGCTTTGATTTCTGACAAAAATATTATATCAGGTCTACAGCACAAAGTTTTGTCAGTGTAGTGATGCCAGCTGGAATGTGAAAAAAACACATCCCCTGGCAACATAAGCTATACTAACAAAATTCCTCTGTTGGCATAGCTGCATCTACACTGGTGGTTCTTTGAGCATAGCTAACATCAAGCAAAGGGGGGGTATTCCTGTAGCGATAGAGAATCTCTTTATAGCACCATAATACTACATCGGTACTACGTTATAAACTTAAGCTTGCATGGGCCCTGTAGTGCAGATGTAGCCTTAAGCTTGGATTTTCAGAAAAGCCAAGTGCTTCAAGCACCAAATGTCAATAAAGCCAATTCATAAATAATTTCAAGTTTCTTTTTGCCTTCATCAAACCAAACAGTGCTAGTGCGTATGCCCATTTTAACTTACTCCCTGGCCACTATCTTCAGGAATGTGTATATTCCTGAAAATGAGAATTGTATAATGACAACTTTGCATATTTTTCTGCTGTCCCATATGTTAAAATGAAGGTGGTCTTGTATTTCAAACACAGGACTGTGGTGCCTCCTTACTGTGAGAAAGGTTATTGGAAGAACAGGTAGAGCTGGTTGGAGTTCTCTGTTAAAATGTGTGTAGGTTCAATATTCCTAATACTGCAATAAGTGTTTTTTCGTGGGTGAAAATAGATGAGTAACATTAATAAATAATAAACTGTAAATAATGAACTGTTACAAATTTGTTTTAGCCCAGAGGAGCTGCCAGTCGGTGTTTAGACTGTTCAGTTGAACAAACTTGTCCATATTCAGCCAAGAAGATTTATCTGCAGCATGCAGAGAAGGTGACTATAGTACAGTTTTCAATCTACATATACAGTAATTCTTCTTTAACACTATAGATATGTTTCAGAAAATGAACGTGTTAAGTGAAAACGTGTTATGCGGGGTCAATTTTCCCATTGAAAATAATAGAAAAGGTGGGGGTTGAGTTTCACGCAGTGGTGTCTGTTGGGACTGGGACATAAGGTTGGGGGAGAAAGGCGACTGGGTTACAGCAGGGAGGGGAGGTGTTTGGCTCTGGGTAAGGGAAGGGGAGGGGAGGAGAGTGGAGGGGGATTGGGTTGGGAGTATGCCCCTGTGACGGCTACAAGGAGGGGTGGAGAAGAGGGGGCAAGGCATGGCGAGAGGGGGGGTCACCGGGGAATGGTGCGGCGAGCGGCAAACCCTCCACCGCTTTGCAGCTGCCGGCGAAGGGCTGTCTGGGGAAACCCAGTTGCCGGCCTGCAAGCAGGGCTAGAGAAGAGGGGGCAAGGCATCTGGCGAGGGGGAGTCAGCGGGGAACAGCGCGGCGAATGGCAAACCCTCCACCGCTTTGCAGGGAGGTGGGGGAAGCCCCATGCAGCTGCCAGCAATGGGCCAGCAGGGGAAGCTTTGCGCAACCGCCAGCAATGGGTCGGCTGCGGAACTTGTGTTATTCCAGGGACGGTCGTGTAATTCAGAAAACGTTTCCTAAAAAGAAAATTGTGCTATCGCGAAAACGTGTTAAGTGGGCACGTGTTAAATGAGGAATTACTGTATTCCAAACATTAATTACATTGATATCAAAATGTATTCCATTTCAAAGCAAAATAAACTTATCTTTTGGTTTCCATAAGATCTTGGACCATAGGATTACTGTATATCATCAGATCACTTTGTCATCAAGGTTAATATCTTGCCTAAGGTAGCCAACACTTGGTATTTTGGAAGAAATGAGAAGGCTGAAATGTACCCAGCTGTTTGCTCAGTGTTCAGCATGGGAAGGGGATGATTTCTTTCTGACTCCAGCTTGTATAAAAGTGAATATTAAAAGGTTTAATAAATGGGATTGAAGATGAAATTAAAGAAAAGTTAGCAGTGAGGTTCAGTAATAGATTTTTAAGGCTAGATGGGCCATTGTGACTAATTTGTCTGATTCATAACACAAAGTTTAAGACTTGCCTGAATTAAATTTCTGCTTCAGATCCCATAGCTGTTGTTGAACTAGAGTATATCCTTGATTAAATCTTGATTAAAAATGTCTAGTGATGGAGAACCCACACCTTTGTACATTATTACAGCGATTATCTTCACTATTTATAAAAATGTACCTTATTTCTAGTCGGAATTTGACTAGCTTCAAATTCTAGCTGCTGGAAGATGGAGAAGGCTGAAATATTTAACTATTAGGTTTTAGTGATCAACAAAAAGGAAGGTGGAGATTTATTTACATTATTGAGAAAATTGGGAAACAGCATGATCAGAAACAGATAAGAGAATTACAGAAAATTATGCAACTCAGCAGGACCAGATTAAACTATTGGCTTATAGAAAATCATGCAACTCAGCAGGACCAGATTAAACTCATAGGAGATTCTTAGAGTGGTGGCAAATGCTGTATTAAACCTGCTCTTAAATTTCTAGAGCCAGAGTCCAGATACTAAAAGATTGGGAACCAGTGTGTGTAGTAGCTGTGTTTTACAACTGGGGAAAAAGAAACTAAACTGTTCTAATCTGTGTGCCTAAATTTAAGATGCTAAATGTAAATGTAGAAGCACATGAATAGAAATGGCCTGATTTTTTTTTTCACAAGTGCTGTGTAAACCTAACTGAAGTCAGTATAGGGTTACCAGATGGCTTCAAAAAAAATACCGGACAGACTTGATCTCAGATTGGGGC